TAGAAATTCATGTGAACAAATTGCTCATTATTTCCTTTTGTGACTTTTGCAGGTGCAACATGAATAAAGGACTTTTTGAAGGCTACAAACACCTTCCTCACATTGCCCAGGGAGGTTTAGTGGTAAACAAGGCTGGTTTAAAAAGTTCAGATGAGTGGCAGAATGAGAAGGTGCAGACAAGCCACCATGCAACCCAAATTTCAATAAAAGATAGCACAGGTGAAAGAACTTCCAAAGAAAGGAAGAAAAAGAAAAATGAAATAATATTAAGCAATCGGGTTTTTCCATCATCTCCAGATTTACACTGATGTCAAGAAAGGGAACCACTTCTCCTTGACAATACTGGATGACCTGCCAGCATCATGCTCCTCAGGAAATACTCTTCCCCCTCTTTTCCAATCATTTTTCTAGATCTGTTCACAGCTCTCCTGTGCTGTGTGTGAATGTCTCAGTGTTGACATGCAAAGTTTTATTAATATTTACCAGTAGAGATTCTAGTCAATCGTATCTGTGAGGCTTCCAGCTAGGAGGAGGTTTACTTCAGCGCTTCTAGTAAGACCAAGGTCCCCATGATTTCCATTTCTTTAGGTTGACCATAGCTTTTAGCCAACTCTTAAGAGTTTTTACTGAAGTTAGTTTTCAAAATAATTCTCTGATAGCATGTCTGCTGAACAGAATTTATAGCTTCAGGGCAACAGTGGACTTTCCTGCTATGAGTTTTAGGATAAAATATTTTACAGCGTGTACATCTCCTCCGCTACCTTACAAACTGCTCTCTGTACCTTTTCCTATGACATAAGTTAAATGAGTTCAAGCTTCAGAGTGGAACACAACTGTTATCTTGCTAGGATAGCTATCACGGCTGTCTTTCTCCAGCACAGTAGTGTTGCAACAAAAAGATATTAATACACATTATCAGTATCTGTACCTTACTGCAGTCCTTGGATGTTTTTCCTGTTGGACAGTGAACCTTGTCTTCTTCCTCTATAGCCTAGAACTGGTTTTAATGGCTACCACCAACTAAAATAAAATTATTACCATCTCTCTTGTGCAGTGGTACACTGCAAAATATAAGGAACAGGTTTAAGTAAAGGAACTCATAATTTCCTAAAGCAATGTAATACTTCTGTTTGGCGATGTATTTTTGATATTGTTAAAATTTATTTTCTGCAAGCATCTTCCTTGTATTCTGGCAGCCCTTCCAATGCTTCAAAATTCATTGCAATTAACAGTTGCAGGGAGTGGTAGAAATACAGTGCTGTCAACCCATACAATCATATAGTCTTTCCTAACCCCACAAGTTAGGGAAATTGTAAGTCAGGGAAATTCATGCTCTAGGAAGCTTGGAGTCAAGCTGACCTGAGGACACGGAGGCAACCAGCTATGCTGCTGGCAAGGTGGTTTGAGTCAGTGGCTAAGGCCAAGCCTACAGATACCCAAGCATCTGCACTGATGTTTCTGCTCATGGCTCCAGGCATTAGTTGTCTTCTGTTCAATTCTTGCATGTCCAGAGACAGAGGTTTTTTCCCCCCAGCTTTCCAAAGGAAAGCAAATCATTATTATAGTTTTTAAATAGCACCAGTCAGTCTGTATCAGTAAAAATTCTTTTTACCTGTTCCCTTCATCAAAAGGCAGGAGAGGTGACAGAAAGTTGTTTTCTGTTTTAATGTTTCATTTCCTCCCAGCAAGAGAAATGACTTGGCAACTGGTTTCATATTGTGGAGAATTCACAGCCTACACAGTTCAAAAACACTTCCAGCATTACTCCTGACCTCTGCTTATTTACTGCAGAGAATATCAATGGATTCTCATTCTGTCTAGTTATTTTTAACACTAACTTCCTTTTATTTATCTTTGTGTGAAATTGAAAAGTCTTGGCATGAGGTGTGGAGCTGGACACTTAACATCTTCTTACTTGCGCCATGTTGTTTGTGGACTAGATAAATTATTGTGGAGAAATGCAATACAGACTTTATGCGTATGATAGTAAGGGGATAATGTCTAGACCAATGTCTAGCCCAAACTCTATTGGGCCTCTAACTTGTGTCTACTACAAGGATTGATAGAAAAATGAAATCTCTTAGTAAAGCCTTCCTAGAAAACCACATAAGCATTAATAGCTTTATTTACGACACTAATATTTTAAGCATAAGATAACTGTGTCAGCCATTTAGAATAGCAAATGAGTCAGGACCTGATGCATAACTCCTACAAGCATAGTCTTGTTGGTGTTTTGGGGTGGCGGAGGTCTTCTTTTTAAAAAAAATACCTCTTAATCTGTTTATGTCGTTATCAGAAAGGTCATCAACTATGCCAAGTACTGATATCTTATTCCTAGTTTAACTGCAAATTCTGAATGCTTATGTGGTGTGCAGATTAGCTGCTGAAGAGCAGCCAGAAGTGGCAGGTGAACATGGCAGAGGATATTAGAAGTGACTGAATTTTGGAAATGGGATGGCTTTCTTAAAATAGACCAACAACATGAGTCATAAAGAGATTTCAGGGAAACTCTAACTCCTACTGTTAGATAGTGAAAGGCTATTCTCAAGGCTGAACCCAGAAGACAAGAAGGTTATGAGTATTGAAAAAAATCAGTGGAATAAGCTGTCAGTGGGTTTACACCTTTTACATTGCTGTGCTTTAATTAAGTGTATGGAAATACTTGTGGAGATACAGTAAACACATCCTATTGATTCACATGCCTTACATTTGGGAGAACAAATCCTGAACAGCTAAAGAAACTACACTCTCTTTCAACAGTTTTGTTTTGTGTGGAAGTGTGGACATTGAAAAAGGCTGATATTTGGAGAACCTGAAAAATGCTTTAAGCACATGCTTATATTTTGGAAGTGTTGCAAGAACATAACTGGAAGCTGCCTATCCAGAGGTCAGGTCTTACAAAAGGAAAACTAGAAATATTTACAAAATACTAAGATGTGTAAAATGACTCCTGTAAAAGCCCAATATGAATAGGATGCAAGAGGCAACTTTCTCTAAGGTCAGCATGACCTTAACTTAAATGTCAGTGCAGTAAAATCCATGGCTGACCTTTCCACAAGGGGACATTGGTTTGGGGTATATTCACAGCATTACCTTGGTGCCCAAAGTTTAGCACTGCAGCATGAGGCATTTGAAATCAGCAACTGCATTTGAATCTTGTTCTTACTCTTCATTCACAAAATTCATTGCAACATCAGGACTGCTAGATTGCAGTCTATCATTATTACTGACTTGTTAACATTTCTCTCTGTAATCGATCTAAGGTTTATCAGTTGACATAACCTGGAAAACATTTTATTTTTTCATCTCTTGACCATAAAATGCTCCCATTCTGGGATGAAAAGATAACACAAATGAAACCAGTCAAGGATCATTACATTTGCTAATCTGAAGTGAGAGATTTATGTTGAACTCTGGACAAGTTCTTAAAAATGCAGGGGTTTACTCCACTTTCTGAACAACATCTGCATCTGGTGAGGTATGGAGAGTGGGAAAGGATCAACACTGATTTTCTAGACTCCCTTACAAAATATAGGTAGTACTGTCATGTTTGGCAGCTTAACAATTTAAAGATTTGCATGTCACTACATCTTTCCCACTGTCACTTTAATATGAGAGTACAAGAAAGCAAGAGAAGGCTCATTAATTATTTCATACTCTTTGTCGTAAGAAAAGCCTTTGATTTTAACTTTTTATTTACAAATGTAAAGCTAACTGTAAGGAAAATCGTTTCTTTTCTCCCTGCTGAGCAAGGGAGCAGTGAAATACATGGAGCCAGCTCTCCATCACATGCTCATTATGACTGGGACTAGCCAGGTATTGAGTCCAGTAGTTGGCAAACTGAGATGAGATCGGTCCTTGAGTGCTTGCTCATATGCTACTCTTTAGCTTTGTTGTCCAGAATATAGACCAGACTTTTTTGATGCAGAGGGTTACAATTCAAAGGCACTCCTGGTATGCAGCATTCTCTCCAGTGCTCTGCTCTTTGTGAAAAATGGGCTGTCTGAGCTCAGATGACACTCTCGTGTGCAGCCTTGCATTTTTAGTGCCTAAACTAGGCTATGAGATAAAGACATTGTCACACAGACATTGCCTATCACAGGCTCTAGGTCTTGGCTACCCCTAAACCTGGGAACCCGAACTGCAAGGACAGACTGGAAAGTGAATGCAATATTTGTGGCTTGCCAGACTCACCCCAAATCAGCTCTCACCGTGCAAGCACTGAAGTGAATGAATTTATATATCACAAGCCAAAAAAACCCCCACTCAGAACAGTTCTTTGGCTTAGAAGCACAGGTACAGAGGTAAGAAAGAGCAACCAGTATTGCTACTGAAACTTCAGCTCACAACCAGTGGGCACTTCCCAAATATGCAGTTTCTTGATTGGCTTAAAATGATCAAAGTGTGTTTTGCTGCTGGAAAGGGTGTTACTGCTATTTTGACTGCCTCTGCTCACATTCTTCCATAGTTTCCATGCAAGTCTTTCTTCAAGTTTTGCCATGTGAGACTGCACAGAGTTTTAATATCGCTAATTCTCAATCATGTCTTTGAAGATTCATAAATAAGATATTTAATCAAAATTGCTAATTTTAATGCTTTATCCTGTGAATTACTGTCTTCCATCTAATTTTCAGGAGACTAATACATTGAAGAATATTGACATTAACTAGTAAGAATAAACAAAATGTACCAGCTACAGTCTAACATTCAACTCAATATAACATAAAGTTTTTATTCACTGTTTTTATTCAATGCTCTCTGTTGTCTGGGTTCCAGCTTGAACACATAAATTTCTAAATGCTGAAAATCATTTATTTAGGTCAGATGGGATCTCTGCTAATCTGGTCTAACCACCTTCTAAAAGAAGAACTCTGTGTCCAGCCCTGTTCTGAGTATTTCCAAAAACAGTCTCCACAGATTCTCTGGGCACCTGTCCCAGTGTCTGGACACCCTCATGGTGATATTTACTCTTGCTTTCATCTAATATCCCTTGCTGCAGCTTGTGCCCATTGCTTTTTAACCTTGCAGTGGTGGTCTTCTGAGAACAGTCTGGACCCATCTCTGTACTGCCCTTCAGGTAACTCCAGGCAGTATTTAGAGACCTGAGCCTTCTCCAGGCGAGACTGCCTCAGGTCCTCACACTCTCCTCACACATTGTGTGCCACCATGAACTGATTACACATCAGCTGCAAGCATATGAAAATGATCAACTGCAAACATATGAAAAAATACCAGATGGCTTGTTTCTATCTCTTGAATGACAGTTGACATGGAAGTAGGCAAATGCTTTGGATGCAGGTTGAGCACTGCCAGACAGAGGTACGTGTGATAATGCAAAGGGCTGGTGTGTTTCAGAATATGTTACCACAGTTCTCTTGTCTTCTGCTAACATGATGCCTGTGTCCTTTGCTGCTGTCAACCCTCTCCACAGAAGGCCACAATGTCAGGAACAGATTTGTGCATGTGCTCATGGAAGAAGCATTTTTTGAGAAATTTGGGGTGCATTGTGACAGAGACCAATGTGAATTTGGGCAGAACGAGATGGAATAGACACAAAACTGCTGGCAGTCTAAAGGTTTGCTGTGAACAAGTTGTGATCTGGTCCCTTGTCTACAACCTTATTTAACCTCGCTGGAACATTCAGTACTATAGAATTGGAAATCCTGAACATCCACCTAAGTGCTTTGCTTTGACCTGTTGGTGAGTCTGATTTGATTAATTTTCAAATAAGACCGGATCTACCTTATATGAGGAGCTAATGTGATAACTAAACCTGTTTTCAGCACAAGGGTGCAAATATCTTTTTCGTTGTTCCTTTCAAGGCCTCCACATTGTAAAAGAGGCATTCAACATCAGTGTTCCAGGGGATTCACTGGTAATGATCATGGCTGCAGATAAAAGACTTGTTGGCAAGTGAAATTCTGTCACCCACTGTGTCATATCCAATATCTTACATTAAGGAGGCTTTAGGGGAAATAATAATAATTTTGAAGGGGAAAAAAATTAATAGAAGTGGAGGTTTGGCAAAAACAAATGTTTTATCAGGAATAGCCCTTGCCAAACATAACATTTTCTCAGGAGCCAATCTTGGCAAAATGAATGTTTTATCAGGAACAGAGGTCTGGAAAAAGTAACATTTTATCAGAATTGGAACCTTAACAGAAAATGTCTTTTTATCAGGCATGAGGAGCATGGCAATTTAAGGAGAAAAGCTTGCTGAAAGTGGAGTTTTATCAGGAGTTTTGCTTGAGGAAAATAGTGTTGCATGAAGGGTAGGAACTTTGCAGAAATAATGTGGGGTTTTTTAGGGGAACAGTATGTATGAAAATAATGTTTTATCAAAAAGAAAGGGGGAGGTATGGATTTAGTGAAAGTGGTGTGCTAACAGCTTCTACCTTCCAGTATGGGAAGCTTTGCTTCTGCAAAAACATTATTTGCACACTGAGTACTTGCCCTAGCTAAAATGCTGGTTTTGACAAGCTGTGCTCCTGCTAAAATGTTATTTTTGGCAAGCTCACCTCTCAAAAAGATGGTTTTGAAAACTCTCTTCAGAGAGATGTGCAAATTGACTATAATACCTGCAGCAGAGCCAGATACCTCTGGAAGCCAGCTTTTCATCTGTTTATTAGTTCTCCATGGCCTCCCTTCTGCCTTTTGCTTTATGGCGATGGTGTTGATGCGCAGCACTTTGGATCCTGAAACACCATTCTGCTTCCAAATGTAGTTCTCCTGCATCATTTTGTTTCCCTCAGCTGCTCACTGACTCAGAGTGGTTGACTCTTCTCCAAGTGTGTGTTATGCATCCTCTCCCACCGGGCCTCTCTCCCCACACCTGGAAGGCTGCTTATGCCTGGTTCCTGACCCCTCTCATCAGCATTTGACACCACTGGGGATGAGATGTTCCTCAGTGCAATGAAGGACCCAGTGGCAAAAGCCACATGGGAAGGTCTTCATTGTCTCTTTTCCAGATTTAAGAGGATGATCACAAGAGGCTGAATCTTTTTAAAGTGCACTCTCACGAAAAGGGACATGAGGGAGGAAGAAAGTGACAGGTTGAGTCACTTAAAACAGGTCCATATCGTATCTCAGTCATGCTGTATAATACATTCATCTGCTTCCCTGTGGAATTTTTGGCAAGTACCCAAGTCAGGAGTGCCCCATACATGTTATCTGTGGGTAATACCTCCACGAAGGAACTGGGACCACACATGCATGTAGGACTACAGCCTCTTAACAATTTGTTGTCTCAATATAAAAGATGAGATGGAGAACATCAATCACTATGACCAGATAGATGGGATTCTCTGGACATTGCCAGAATTTGTAGGGCATCATCAGAATCACTCACTGTTTATTTACAATGTTACTGAGCACCAGTGAGGGTCATAAGAAAGGCTGACTCAATAGCTATTTTTAAGAAAGGTGACAGGTGAGAGCTGGTTATCACAGGCCACTCTTGCCCAGCCTTCCAGGTACTGTAAGACACTTCCAGCTGGAATGAAATTGCTGACTTTGTTGAAAAGGGAAGTGATTTCAACTTGAGCTCTTCTTTTCAGGCGGTAAGAGAAACCATTCTGTAAGGAACTGGTGAATAAAAACAAACAAGCATGTACACTAAAAACAGGATATGGGGCATGGAAAGCACGTGAAAAAAGCCCCATAAATCTGACCAAGAGGACTGTATTTTTCTTACTGTAATAAGGAATAATGTCCTCCAACATTTTCCCAGTGCACATTGGCCTTTAATCCAGGTCCTACTGAAGCATTTCCTCATACAAATATTGTAAATTAATGTTATTGCACTGTAGTGGTTGTGATTCATTGCAGCTAAAGTCCCTGTTCTATGAGAGACCTATTATTTGTACTACGTTCCCATGATCATTGAGTTAATGATGATTTGGCATTATATCCCCTTGTAAAGTATTTTGCTGGTTTATACTTTGAACTCTACATGGGAGAGAGTTGGGCTTGCCTTTTAATGGCAAGAGACTCAGGTCTCTTGCAGAGAGGCCTGGCAGATCTCTCTAGCTAGATCTAGGTCTAGACTTTTAGAAGAAACCCATGATATTTGAATCCGTCTTTTGTGACTACCAACAAATGGCAGAGACATTATCCACAAGGCCAGGTAAAGTGGGTAATATCTTCTCTTGGTACTAAGTAGCAGGACAACCTGGTGGGTGAATGGGTTATTGGCTGACCAGGAAGGGCTTGGGAAAACTGTGTCTGTATCTCTGACTACTGCATTTCACTTCTGGTTTAAATGAATCTCACACATGCAAAAAATTCTTACCTGGATTGATTGACTAAATTTTGTTTTCAGCTTGAAACTCTAGGAAACTACTTTCATGGAAATCTATTTGTATATGGTTTCAACCAGAAGGAGTAAATGCTTTCCAGTTCATTGGACATTTTGCCCAGGTGACGTTAACCTAGATTTACAGCTGTGACATTTCTGCATGCCTGACCCTGCTGGAAAGATTGCCTTTGCTCTCCAGGGTACCTCATTCATGACCTGCAAACCCCACTGTAGTACAGCATTCCCATAAGGGCTCTCCTGCAGAGCTGGGATGCTCTCTGCTTGCATTATACAGGTATAAGGTAGCTCTGAAGTAAAGTGCCCTGCCAATTTCAGTTTCAACTCACTCTAAGCTAGAGTATGCCTAGAGTGCACACTGCTCCCCTCCTTGGCTCTGCTCACAGCAGCGCTTACTCTGCACTGCCCTTAAACAGGCAAGAGAGCAACAGGTGCAGCATCCAGAGGGCATCTGTCCTGGATATTTTCTGCTGGGCTTTTTGGTTATTATAAAATACTTATTAATAACATTGAGCTGTTGTTGCTTCCTTTTAATTTGATTTCCAGAAGAAGATATGTAATATGGTGAGTTTGATCTAGCTTTATGCATGTATTGAGAGGGGCGAGGACTATTAGTTTCAGCTTACACAAATACTTTGCTTGAGCAGAACCAAAGTTGGACTGCTTAACCAAAAAAAAAAAAAAAAGTAATAGCATAAACCTAATCTCAGTGCTAAGTGGTTTCTGTCTGAGATTGTTTGCAGGGCTTCTTCCTTGCGTAGAATCTTGTGTATCCCCAGCTGCACCCCTATCATAGTCTTCTAGGACAAACTGTGACAGAAGAACCCACAGGACCTTAGACCTCCCCATTAGAAATGACTCTCAGGCCAATGCCATGTGTTTATTATAGTAAACTATATTGACCCCAGAGGGACAAAGGCTTGGCTCCTGGCTATTGAAATTACCATTACTAATGGTCTCTTGTCCAAATAGTTGCTGCATTTACAGCTGGGCAGAAGATTTTAACAGCTGTGGAACAACTGAAGGGAGAACTCATAGTAGCATTTAAAGAAAAACTGATTTCTATTTTTGAGAGTAGCAACAGATAAAAGTTCAGCCTCCCCCTCAAACCTATATTTCTCAAACTCTTAGCATTGTAGTAGCCTACAATGCAAGCATCACATTCAGTTTCCTTCCCTCAGTCAGGCCTTTTTTGTCTTCCCTAAGAAAACCACAACACAAGGAATATTCATGCCTCAGTTTCACTACCTACAATTCTATCTCTGAAAGCAATTGCAATGATACATTTAAACAGCTGATAGAGATCTTAGAGTATCGTCTGTAGCTTCAGAAATTTTATTTTTCCCTCTTTTGTAAATGCTACCTTACTTCTGGGGGTTTGGTGTGGTTTTTTGTTTTGTTTGGTTGCTATTGTTTTGTTGGTTGGGGGGATTGTGTTTTGTTGATGGCAGTTTAGTTTTGTGGTTTTTTTTGTTGTTTGGCTTGAGTTTTTCTAAGGAACTTTAATAAGGAGCCAGAAAACTCCTTTAAGGAGTGGCCTACCATTCTTTGAGAAAGTTTAAGCAGTTTGCAGGCCTAAGATGCACCAAACTTGACTGTTGCATAGTATTTCTGTGATAACTATAGTATGCTGTTTAGTAGAAAACATAGATCTGAGCAATACTTAATAAGTACATTGTTTGGTGTGCAAAGCTCAGTCGATGACTGGGTGGTGTTTTCCCTTGAGCCCACTGCAGGCGGCAGGATTTGGTGTTCCTACTCCACAGTCCTCCCTCTCCATCCTGAGTGCCAGCTTTGCTACACTGGGTGCAGAAAGGGTGGCTTTTTCCTCTGCTCCTTTGAATTTGCCTCTCTTTGGGGCTTTAAGTGAGACCATTAGAGTTATTGAACTTAGCATTTGGCAGTTTATATATGATAAAGAGGTTATTACACAGTGATCCCTGTATGTTTAGTTCAGCTGTGGCAATCAATCAATGGACACTTTTCCTTTGACAGCACATGCTTCCATAAAAAAATTCTCTGGCAGGGCCCTGTTAGCTAGTAATGACAGCGTAGCCTCTGTCAAGTAATATAGTTGATAAATTTTGCATGTGCTGTTGACTGACAGAAGCTCTGGCTTCCTGTCTGACCAGCATACACAGGCTTCAAAGAGCACAGAAACTTCTTTCTTCTCCCCAAAAGGAGTGCCTAAAATCCATGTGGGTAGAGCCAGACCTTCCTCTGAGGGGAGAATAAAACAATGCTGCACAAGGGAGAGACGCTTTTATGCCTTTACAAAGCTAAACTTGCTCTTTCCCCTTTCCTTGCCTTTCCCTGTCATTCACAATTATCCGAGACTTGCTGGCTTCGCACACTTGGCCGTGCACAGCACCCTCCTGAGTGAGTG